TGATTAATCTGCCATTTGTATTAGACACATCCTGCTCATTTTTTTATGATCTTTCCACTGGACTTAAACACTGCAGTGCAAAGTGCAGTTGCAGAGTAAATATCGACTGGCTTCAGAGGTAATCAAAGCACACTGTGTGTCTAGAATACAGGGTACACCTCCTGTTATTTGTGGTTCACTTTATTGCACATAAGCAGCATGACAGAGGCATCTCGTCAGAAGAGCGATGTCTGACGTCATGTTTGAGGAATATAAACAACATTAGAAAATCTGCCTTCAGATTGTGAAGACGTCGGCCTCTGCATAGCAAACTGCACAAGTCACAGGTTGGAAAAAGTGGGACAATCTCAGGTATGTGTTAGCAGTCTGTCTGATAACATGCCAGAGATAAAAGGCAGCATTTTACAGCCAAACATCAAAGTGCAGCGCAGGTTTCACTCGAGACAAAGTCGAAGTAAACAGCAACGTAGTACAGTGTCTTAAAATAACACAGAAAAAGCTCATTAAAAAATGTCGAGAGACCTTGAAGCTGTGTGAAGGCGGCTTTGAGGGGCGAGCTTTGTTTCCCATCTACGAGTTCTCTGTTTCCCACACGTAGATGTGATGAAGACTCATTAAGGTAATGCTCATTTTGGCAGGAGTTTGCCATTAGCTAGATGACAGGCCGACTCTGAGAGATCTAGAGCTGGCCCGACACCTCCACACTCAACACAAGTCCAAAAGTCACAACTCCATTTGTCACAGCCTTTAAACTCAGGAGGTATTTCAAGCCTGACACAGTTCAGGTTAATGAATGAAATATTTGTAATCTAACATGCTAACATTACTACAGCACACTTGCCTGTGTAAACACTTGCATTACGCTGCAGACCAACAGTTGAGCTGTAGCTGAGCTCTATTCACACGGCGACCATTTTCCCTTTGACATTGTGATTATGGGGAGGAAGCTATGCAGTTACAGCTGTTACACTGCTGTGTTAAGGGGGTCTTATAGATGTAGGGAGAGTGACACATCTTTATCAACATCACTGCTTCTCAATACATCACCTGAAAAGACAAATGATCGTGAAAATCCAAAAGGTCACATTGCAAGCTAAAGGTTCTCATTTGGCATTAGCTAAGTTACCCTGAAATAGAGCTAATATTGGTAGCATCCAGCGATGCCACAGCTATGATTGCCGTTAGTTAAGAGGTGAATGCCTTTCCTCTCATATCATGTGAGATCATCGAACTGTAATGTGAGCTATGTCGTGATAGCTAATCTCTCGGCTTTGTGTAGTTTTACATTCCTCGATATGAAAACAAAGCACATCCAAAGCATCGAAGGTCAACTAATTACCTCCTGTCTTTAGCTCCGTTATCATCACACATATATATATATACATATATATATATACATGTCAGTGGTGTCAAACTTAACAGAAAGTGAATACTTGTGTTTTCCAAAATGTTGAGTTGTCTCACTTTTAAGTGTACACTGAACTCACCTCAATAATGGAAAGACATGTCGGCTTTATGAATATTAAACACTTACTCTGGTCATACTAGTTCATGAAATGAAGGTTGTTTTTATTCCCCCTTCAGGGAGCGCCTAGCGGTTATGTTGCCCGCCACATGTACCGAGGCTTTAGTCCTTGTCGCAGTAACTGAGGATCCAAAATTCAACCTTGGCCTTTCGCTTCATTTCATCCCTCACTCTCGCCTCCCAACGTTTACCTGTCTCTCTTCAGCTATCCTATCCAATAAAGGAAAAAAAGGCCCCAAAAAATAACTTAAAAAAAATGAATGGTCTGGTATCTCAGTTTGAGCGAATGCTAATAAACAAGAGCGAGGGAATATGACTACATTAAAGTTGCTTTAATAAAGTTATAATCTTCATACACAACAGGATATGGAAATAAAGAAAGAAAGCCAATAATCAGCACTTATAGTTATTGAGTTATTGGCCTGACCAGTATTAAGGGAAGCATCAAACCAGTTTCATCACCCCAGTGAACGTGATGCCACACTGGAAGTCCTCCATTCCTGCCACTGTTCCACATGTGGTGACCATTAGACTCAGGTCATTAAACACAAAGCTCTCAAACTACCCTTTCTTTTGTCTTAAGTTTGTTTACACCCATTCAGACAATAGTGAGCAACAACAATGGATCCAAACCATCTGGTGGAGTGGTGGACTAGCAGAATACAGCCACCTGCAGGGCAAAAATAATAGATTTCACTTGTAACTAATGAGGTGTTTGTTGACATGAAGTGAGTAAGTACAATGCAGTGTTTTGGGTACATTAATTGTTTATTTTTACTGCAACTGTTTACCCAAGTAGGAGGCATATAGCACTTCCAAAAAGTTACTTTCAGATGGTCCCAGAAGCAATGTGGCATTAAAGATACTTTAAAAGATAAAGGGATTCATTCTCTGTATTCATCATGTTTTCAATTCTAATCCGACATCATTTCAGAGCTACATAAAACTCTTGATGCTGTTCAGTTGTTTTCTCTGTTTTTAAAATATATTTCTGTTCAGATGTGTTATAAAGAGGAGTTCTAAGTGAGATGTGGAACAATAACATGTTAGTTACATTACATGATATGGATCTGAGCTGAGTTTCTCCTCATTGAACACCTGCAGGGGCTGCAACCATTAAGAGACCTGAAATGCAGCACTGTGCAGCAGACATGCAGTGTCTATACTCTCAGGAGTTTGACAGCCCGGTGAATCTAATGGGGATGTATAACGTGCAGAGAAAGATATGCAAATCATCCTTCAATGCAGCCAACTGCTGGATCACCTTCACCTTCACACACACACACACACACACACGAAACCTGAACATGAGTTGTGTGTTTCCACAGCCGAGCGGGGTTTTATATTTTTTGGAGGGTGTGGAGCCGCATGGCAGAGCTGCAGGTCGGAGCCACGCTGTGAGTTTAAAACCGCCTGAAAATCAGACTGTCCTACTTTCACCGCGGGGATTTAATCCCCACCCAGCACATCTACGACCACGTCTGCAGACTTGGCAGAAAGCTACACGAGTTTTTACCCTGACGTAAACTCACCTTCGTGACGGTCATATGTTGCAGGATGCGTCGGCAGGTGGTGGTGGTGGTGGTAGTTTTCCCTGAAGAGGAGCTGAAGTGGAGCTGATGGTGGAGCTGAGACGAGTCGCGTTATGACACCAGTGTTTTTTGCATGGTTGTCATTTACAAGCCATGATGCAAGGCTCGACCTTCAGGTATCCCAAGAAGAGGAAAAAAAAATTAAAAAAGATATCAGAAGCTCAGAGACAGAGCATGTCCCCCCCTCCTGCAAGCGACGCACAGAGTCACCATGTGAGGAAAAAAAAAAAAAAAAAAAAAAAAAACAAGTGCCCGGGCACCAGGAGGAGGAGGAGGAGGAGGAGGAGGGCGGATGATGAAGAGAGATGTAAGTACAGGATGCGACGAGAGAAGAGGGAGGGGGAGGAAGGGGCGAGGCTATGAAGGATGGATTTTGAGGGGGAAAATGTATCATTAAAGGATGATTAAAAATAGCTCAAAGTCCAACTAGACTACCTAAAGCCGTATACACCGTCATGCATAGATTTGATCCCCTGCAGAAGTGTTACCAGTATAAATGTATCGTCATATATTAGTTTGTCATTACTCTGTGCATATGTGCCACAATATGGTTTAAACAATGGTTTTTTGATGAGTGTACTAGTCCAACAATTAATAATAAAACGACGTTTTTCTGCCTTATTTTATAGAATTAATCTGTAACAAGTCTCGTTGTCTAAAATTGAATATTTTGTCAGTCATATTCAAATTTGTAACACTAACAAAAATGTTTAGATTATAGTGTTAAGACTTGGTGAAAGATTGTTAGAAGATTGTTTTCAAAGTCAAAACAATCCAAAAATGTTCAAATTAAATACTGAATTTTGGAACAGTTATTTTCATTAAAAAAATGTCAAGCACATTCAGCACAATATGTAAATATTACGAGTTTTGGTTTGGTGCCTATGGTTATTTGAGAGTATTTGTCGCCCCCCAGCGTTGATATTCAGCCATCACAAGAGGATTCACCACAGCAGGGGGGCACTCGGAGGAGTAATCTTAGCCACTATATTGTATAATAGACATTATTGATGCAGTAGGCATTTGTTCAATAATATTTGTCAACATTAAGAAGAGAAGCAGGTGAACTGAAGCATAAAAATATGTAGGAATAGGGTCATTCTTTTTAAATTCAGTTATTGAAAAGTATTGAAACGTTTCTGTGGTCATTGCCATTCTTCTGTAAGTTTAGGCTTTAACAGAGCGTACAGTTACAGTGACTTGCAGGATGAAAGTAATACCTTAGTTTGCTGGTATACATTTAGCATTTTCTTGACTTGGCATACTCAATTATCTTTACAACTACTCAAGATGATGAAAATTAATATCCTGGTAAATTCTATTGAACAAATAAAACAACTAAACACCCTTGAGTCTTCATTTACTCTGTCTGTCTGTTTGCCCTGAGCTACCTGAGGTTCTGTGTTGACAGCAGATAATTCATGTTAACTTTTGCTTTCACAAACTTTAGAAATTTTGGCATTTCAGATCCAGGCAAATGCATGAGCGTTCCCTTGTCAAAGGGTGAGGCAGTGTGAAAAAAAAACAAAGGGTCCGCCCACATAATCAAAGGCTTTAAAAATGATGGTCAAATGGATGAGCTGCTCAGAGAAGTTGTCTGGCTTCTGAAATCTTTCCTCAAAAGTAGAACAAACTCAAAGGGATGTGGGATGTCTTCATTGAGGGCTTATCCTTTCACTGGGCATAAATACCTTAATCTTATTTCAAAAATACTTCAGTAGGATTCCCATAGCAGGCAGAGTACACATGCAATATACCGTATGCTTCCCACAACACCAATGTGCATTTGTGCAACACATTTGGTGACATATTTACATTTAAAACGTTTTCCCCTCAACAATTTTTTCCAAATATAAATAATCCCAAAAAGACAAAAACATAAATCTCTGTGGATTTAGTAAAATTTAATTTATCTACAATTATCCCACTATACAGGCATACAGACTAATAGATTCTTTATTCATATCAATGTGGCTCATATATTGATAAGTTACACAATATCATACAGAAGCTGGATGCCAGAACTGGACAAAAAGTTGCAAAAATATCTTTTTTGTCTTTACATCTTTTTCTGTCAGTGTTTTTTTCTTGCAGCATATTGTAGAGCAGTTAGGTTTTTTTTTTTTTTTTGAGTGTGAAATGAAACAACTCAGAGCTGAAATACTGTGATACACTGAACATGGACTGACCAATGGGTATGAAGATAAATTGAGTGGTCAGCACAGTGATACGCTTCAGGGGGTCCTGATGCTGTGTCAATAAGGGAGGGAGCGGGGAAACCCTCCCAGCAAATTTCACCAGCATTATGATGAAGTAAGAATATTAAATCTGCTAATTGTATTTTTTGCTACATTTTATATCCTCATCTGTGAGTTCCCCAGGTGGCTTATGTGTTAAAGTGAACCTAACACTATGTGACAATATGTTACAATCAACACAAAACTGGTAAAAATCCATCACAATCTGATGCTGAGAAGGTGGCAGAGATGAATTAACTGACATGTTTATATGTTTTTGCTGTTCTGAATAAACAGCATCAGGAGCTAAAACACATCTTTTAAACTAACACGTATGCATGATGTGATGAACTGGTATAAAGAAAAATGAACATAGCATGGCAGCCAGGGAGAGAAACTTTCAGTATTAGTCCTCCAGTTCAGTTTCTCAGGTGTGTTTCTGAAAAGTCCTTTCTTGCCTTCTGGCAGTCAAATCTCTCCTTTTGCTTCTTTCAGTGTTTTTTCTTTTCTTCTCCTCTAGTCCTCGTCTTCTTCCTCCTCGTAGTCGTCGTCTGTTTGGTCCCTAGTGTCGAGGTCATCCTCATCGTCCACCTGTAAGGAAAGTGTCACAGTCTAACTAAAGCAAACAAACGAAACACAGCTGAGTGGTCGGGACACAGAGCATGTCTTTGAGGTATCTGCTCACTAGTCACGTCAAGACGACTACCACCTAGTTTCACTGGTTCAACTGGGAGCTTCTAAGGTCCTGTTCACACCTGGTACTGAGTGGTCGGGACACAGAGCATGTCATTTGTCAAATGAGAGCTCACATTAAAATGTGTCGCTTCTGAGCGGCAACCTCCAAGGTAAAAAGAAATTAAGTGAATGTAATGTAAGCTAACAGCAAAAAAAAAAAAATGCTGTTCCTAGTGTGACCACTAGAGGCTACCTCAAAACAACAAGGGTTCCTGATAAAGCTCATATTAAAAAGCTCAAGCTAATGTCTTTACTGGTTAAACCTGTAAAAAAGGTTTGATTTTCTACTTTAAATCAGCTGTTTTGATTTAGTAGGGTTGAGGCTGATTTAATTGTCAGACGAGGGCATGTAATAATAATTTGTGCTATAAAAAAACATGAATGTGTAAAAGTGTGCTTTAGACTCGCAGCAGAGAGAGAGAGAGAAAGAGAACAAGTGCACTCGTGTGTGAGAGGGAGCAGAAACATTAAGTGTCACTGTGATATAAAACGTTCTTGAAGTGTAGCGTTTCTCTGAAATTCTGTAGTTTATCAGTGAAGCGTCTGAACTACATCCAAGTCTCTGTTAACTATGATAGGAAATACATTGTTGATGTCCTCACCGCACTGCTTTATTAAGATCTATGATGAACTGAATTTGGGTGAAATCTCTGGCAAGCATCAAATCACTGCTTCGCCCTTGTGGTTGAACCGCATCCAAAAATAAAAAAATCACCGTTTTACTAAATCAACACAGGATATGATTTGTCATGTAGTATTGGCACAGCCCACTCTTTCTTGTTTTCTCATTCTTCAAATGACAAGAGAAGTTATGAAGCCAAAAGATTTTCAAAGGCCACAGCAGAGAAGAACTAAACGAGACGATGAATGTCGGGTGAGCGGATTAATTGCAATCTACTCAGTGATCATGATGTGTATTCAAACCTCTTTTAAAAGAGATCTAAATGTAATACAAATATTTCATATGGATTGTGAACATGTATATTACCTCCTCATACATATATGATAAATGTTTTGATAGTTTGTCTACCGTCTCTCCCAGGTCTTTGAGTTTCTGTTTGAGGCTGTGGATCTTCTGGTCCTGATCCGCCAGCAGCATCAGCAGGTCGTCCTGCTCCTTCTTAGACTCCTGCACCTCTGTTTGTAGCTTAGCCTTCTCTGTCTGGAGGATGGCCACCGTGCTGGTGGCTGAAGCAAGCTGCTGCTCCAGCTCCAGCCGGCTCTGTGACAAGCTCTTTGCCTCCGCCTGAACCGTCGCAGAAGAGGGTGAGAATAGAGAAAGGGGAAGACAGGAAGGAAAAATTATGAACAAAAACAAATACTGGAAGTAAATGTAATGAAATTCTTCAGAGGTCAGAGTCAGACAGACATTTTGTTTAAACAGTAACACACCTTGAGTCTCTCCGTCTCGTTCGTCTGGGCTGCGAGTCTGCTCTCTAGTTCTGCCATCTTCTGAGCATCTAATGAGCTGTCACTGCAGGGAGCTGCTTCTGAGGACTGAGAGAAACCAATTCAGTGCCTGTAAACATTATGGGATGTTTATATGTTGAACAAAGTATCTTATTTGCTTGGTATTTACTGCAGCTTCCGCTCTCCTCAGCAGCTCTTCTCTTTCTGTCCTCATCTGGTTGATTTCTGCAGACTGTGACTGAACCTGACTCCTCAGAGCCTCCAGCTCCTGCAAAACAACAAAGTCAGCCAACATGTGCAAAAATACACAAAATATATACGAATTAATTATAAGGAATAAAGACTAACAATACCTTATTAATAAATGAGAAAAACAAAATTGAAAAGTATGGTGCTGGAGACCGTCTGTTGTGTAATGTTTTTCATGAGCTTAGTTAAGAAATCAGAATCTTATCAGCCTATCCTCACCTCATATTTATCTTAACACAATAATCGTCACTTTTTGAGGGTTGAATCGATCGAACTGGTGAAAGACGAAGCACGTTCTGATGAATTCTTACCTTGAGCAGTTCTGAGTTGTCTGACTCTGCTGCTGAACCCTCTGCTGTCTTGGACGGCTCTGACCTCTACAGTTACATATTGAAAAGATCAAAGGCAAATAAACAACCGGTTCTGTCTGAGAGAGTGCTCATCTAATTGAAGCTTTTACAAACGCACAACAAACTTGGTGATAAAAGACGCAGTTCCCCACAACAGCTCAGGGAAAAAAGCATTTTACTTCCTTTCACATTTCACACACAAACACAACTACTGCACACAAGCATTTACAAACCAGGCTGTTGATGAGTGTGTCTTTGTCGCCGAGTTGTGTCTGAAGGAGTGTGTGTTGCATGCGGAGCTCCTCCAGCTCCGCTCTGAGCTGCGTGACCTCCTCCATCTGTAGCCCGTTCATCTGCGAGCCGTCTCCCTGACTGTTTGACTGACTGTGGTTATCCTTACCTAAAGTTACAACAACACGCACAAGTACACAATTAAAATGTCACATTTAACTGTCCATGTGATATGAATGTCTCTCTTTTGGCTGGCTCCTTCTTAACCATTTAACATACACAGTACTTGAAATATCTGACTTCATCTACCTCAGCTTCCCCTCCTAATACGGCGGCTGTTAGCTTAGCTTAGCATAAAGACTTGCAGCAGAGGAAAACTGCTGCCATAGTCCAGTCTAAAGTACAAAAATAAATGCTTAAAAACAACTCTGAAGCTGACTTTGTGACATTTATCGTGTTTGTTTGTTTGTTTGACCCAAAGACACACAGAAGAGTAGAAAAAGGGGGAATCGGAGAAGCTGTGTGATTCAAATTCTGCTGAGTTTAAAGGCTAAGTAAGAATTGCCAGATATCAACAGCACACACAAGTTTTAGTTCACACTTCCGTTAATTGGTAAGGCCCCCAATTTGGCAGCCTCATTCTAAAAGCGGGACTCCATGAAATCATCACAACGTCTTGCTTTGTCTAGAGTTAATCACAAAACGCCTTCACAACCAAAATCTTTCTTTTTTAAATGGTCCCAAAATGTAGAATTTCTGTTTAAAACACTCGCAGGCTATTGTCCTCCAAGCGGGCAACCCAGGTTTCAAATCCTCTCTCTCAAATTTCTGACTCTATCCACTGTTCTATCTCGAAACAAAGGCATAAAAAGCCCAAAATAGAAACCTTCAAAAAAATAAAATAAAACACTCACAGATCATTCTGTTTCCCTGTGCACACAATGTTGTGAAACAGTATCTCGTAAAGTCGCTGCAAACCTTTATCATCTCACACGCTTTACATTTTTAACTATCAACTGAAGAAATGGAAATGTGCAATGTGGTAAATCTCACTGACATATTTCTCTTCCAACTACCTGTAGACTACAAAGAAAATACTTCATGTGAAACACCTGACACCAATGAGATGAACTCGCCTAATTTCAGCTTGAGGATGTTGTACTGATCTTTGTGCTGCTGGATCTGGGACAGCTGTTGTGTGAGTGAAGTCTGCATCTGTTCGTTCTGAGCTGACATGGTCGACACCTGCTCCTTCAGCTCCTGGATCTGAGCATCCTGAACATCACACAAACAAAAGTAGTCAGCAGGAGAGTACATCAGGTTGAAATAAGATCAGATAATCCTTTATTTATGAAAGAAACAATGACACCTACAACAGAAAACAAAATGAAAATGTTTACCTGTTCTCTGATCAGCTCTTTGTACTGTGTTACGATGTTGTCATGCTGCTCTAACGTCTTCTTAACCTCCTCTTCCTTCTTCTCCTCCTCACTGGACTTATGAACCGCTTTGGTGATCACACCTGAAGAGAGAAAGGAGACATGAATTATGAAATGGTCCTTGATACTCAGCAATACAGTAATCATCACTGGATATTCTCTGACTGACCCTCCAACTCTTTGACCAGCTTGGTGAACTCGTGGTCAAACAGCATTTGCTCTGGAGACGGGAAGACGGGCTGCGGCTTCTGGGCCGCCCGCGAGTACAGCTCATGTTTAGTGATGAAGCCCAGTTTCTCTACAAAGTTCTCCTTCCCGATCCGCTTCTCGATGAGCTGCTTTAGCTTCTCTCTGAGGATGACAGAGGCGGTATGACGGGTTTTTAACATGACCACAAGTAAGCAGAATTTAGAAAAGAGCCTGGCTTTCTTTTTCTGTTCAAGCCATTACAGAACTTGGCAAACAAGGATAAACTAATTACAAGTTTGTTTCAAGCAGCTTTACATGTTACAGATTACAGCTCCATTTGTCCTAAAAATTTAAGTTGATGAGCAATAAAAAAAAAAAAACACCCTATAAAGGCCTTCGACTAGACTAAAAGCGTAGAAAATATAACAAGAGAAGAGAAAACAAAATGAGAACAGACAGTTTTTCAATACATGTGGGTGTAGACTTGACCTAGTAGTAAAGTCAAATAACAATAAGGAGTAAAATGACAGCATAGTCTTCTTGGCTGTCAAAATCATAGATAGCTTGCAAACATATATACTGTATACATTTTTCTGTGTGTGAGAAGATACTTACTTGGTGTAGTTTTCCAGCGAGTTGTCGTTGTAATAGATGCAGATCCCAAGAAGTAGTGCACACAGGCCCTGCACCAGCCTTTCATCCTCTCCCAGGTTCTCAGAGATCTGAGCCGTCAGCTGAACGAGGCACAGAGTCAAGGATCCGCAGTTCACACATGTGCTTTTTAACCTAGAGGTGGAATATGACTCTCACATTCTAGTTGATCATCAGTTTTGTTTGAATAAGTTCAAGTGATAGATGCTAGAGTTGATTTTAAAAAATTGGAAGATGATTCACAAGCTGCTTTAAAAAGGATACAAAGGGAACGTTTTCCTGGTTGTGTAAAAAGTGTGTGACAGCTATCGGACAGTTGTTGATCCACGTACACAGCAGCATGAGGAGGCCGACCCGCGTCTGAACTTTACTGCCCTGCAGAGAACAAGAAGACAACAAGGACGTGTCAACATTTGCCTCTTGGATGATGAGTTGCCACCAAGAGCCCAATGTTGATCAAATAAGTAATATTCAGGTGTTATCATTTAAATATGTTTAGTTTAGACAACAGAAAACCAAACTGTTTTTTAAATGTTGGATGGTTAGGCTTAAAAAGGCATGTGATGATATTCAGTATCAGAATGGCAACAAATGTATCAGTTTAATTAATTTACATCTACATCCTGATCAAAGACTTCAAGTTAGTTCCAGATCTGGACATGAACTAAGAAACAGATCTGGTAATTTCTTAAAAGAGCTGAATTAAAGGAGAGTTACAAAGTGCTTGATTATGAGTTGGTGTAGTCTTTTTGTTTACTTTTCTAACATGTGAATTATTTTCTTCCCATTCTGACTTGATGAGATTAAAAACCTGCACTAGACATGGTTAGGTATAAATAAATCAGTTAATCAGTTGGCAGCACTTCAGTCACATCAAACATTAGTAGTCATTAATGACGTTATCACAAACAAAAGACAAGGACACAGTCAACGTAATGCATTCAGTATATTCAAACAGGGTTATGTTGATAATGTGGTCTGCCTTTAGGTCGTACACAAGTTGAACGTTTTAAAACGTTTTTTAGTTTTGTGGGTTGCAGTTTTACATCTTAAAGCGATTTGATGACTTGCAACAAAGTATCAAACTACACAACATACATGTCCAGCTATCACAACATGCAAAGCAAAATCTGCTTAATGAGCAACTTAAAAGTTAAGTTGCACTTAAAATATCAACTGTAAAAATATAAAAAATGGTGTAGAAGGATCATGCATTTCCATGAAAACAGCTTTGAAGCAGGTCAAATAGTTTTAAGATACATAACTGGGTTTTAACGAGTGAGTAAGTCGGCTTCAATGGAATCAGAATTATTCTGAGCAATTACACAGATCTGAACAATCCATCTCAATCAGTGGTTGTGAGGAAGGATGGTTTTCATGGAGTTGGAATGTACAATGATAAAAATCAACACATCAATAGAAACTCTACACTGTAGCTTAAGGATGCTAATAAGCTGGTGCGTAAACACTTAATGCACTTCATGCTTTAAGGAGAGCACACCTGAAAGAATCATTGCCAACCATCTACAGCAAGTTTGGAGACCTTAGCAATGAAAGTGTGGTTAAAGACTTATCCGCATTCAATACCACAAAAATGTACAAAAATCACCTTTTCAGATTTAGTCTCCAAATGTGACGAAATGCAAAAAATGAAGAGGAAAACAAAAGACAAAAACATGACACCAAGTATTTAACAAACATTGGTTCTGGTTCTAAAGTATATACTCTGTTTATGTTGGTGTTTATGTTGGTGATAGTGGTTTCAACAAGCTAGTCTAAGCTGGCCAGTTTCATTAAAGACTACCCTTTAAAGTGAAATCATGAGATAAAAGACAAATCACCACCTTCATATAGTACGTTAAAGAATATTGAAATGAGGTTTAAGAGAAAGTAATCTAGAAAAAAACATCAGTAAAAAAAAAAATTGAGAAAAAGGTTATATCTTAGATTTAAGGGAGCGATAAGAATGTATTTCAAATGTACAACTTTAAATTTGTCTGGAATAAATCCAGAGGCGGGCATCCAGGAGGCCCCCTGTTCAGATGTCTTTACCATCTCTTGCCTGACTATCGAGTGTGCTAGCTGAAAACCAATAGTAACGGAAGGAATGTTGATTTATTGGTAGATCAGGACATTTGCTTTCAGGGTCAACTTCTTCCTAACTTCTAAAGTCTAGAAAATAACAGCACTTCCCCAGGTAAATGAATCTGAGCTAGTGCTTTTCAAGTCTTCTGACTACTCAGAGCTCTTTTCACACTGCAGATCAACACTGCCCATTCACACACTGATGGCAGAGGCTGCTTTGTAGTGTCCATCAGTATTAATAAGACATACCGACATGTAGCTGGAGCTGGTGATCAAACCCCCGAACTTCCTGTTGGGAGCCAACCAACACTACCACTGAGCCACAGCCACCCCAAGGCAGGCAGGCAGCACCTCTGCTCATTTGTCATGTCTCGCTTCATATACTTTATAAAAACATGACATGCTTCAAATCCCCTCACACAGGGAAGAAAGGAGTACCACAGCACCACGTGCTGATCCCAAACAGCCATATATAAAGACCACTGTTTTCTTAAAATAGACACCAGAGGCTCTTAAAGAGAAACCAAAGTGATTCACATGAACTTTGGAGAGGCTGCAGTTCATCTGCAGTTCATCTGCATTTCCAGTGCCCATCCTCTGATTCAGGTATCTTCTGCAAAAGCCAATACTTTAGACAAGTGTCTTACTGCCAATACACTAGAGCTCTACAACAAGCCTTTGTGCTGGCCCAGTTGTTGCTTGGCTTAACATGTCGAAGTAATTTGGTCACCCAGAGGAAGGGCCCAGTTTCCTTGATCCAAATTTAGACACTCAACTTGAGAACAAGCTAGCCAGAAGCAACCAAAAGTAATGAGATTCTCCTTGAAGAAGTGGGTAAATTCATGTAATTTAATGAATTAATTAAAGGAATGACTAAGGGTGAAAACGTGTGATGAGCACAATATAAGATGAGTAATCCAGGAGGATTGGTTAGGTATGACTGAACATGTTGACCTTCCTATTAATGCTTAAACTGAAACCAACCAAGTCCACCTTCAAATATAAACAATCCTCACATGTGTGTTTATGAGAAAAAAAGAAGAAGAATGGAGATCTCTCACTCTGACAGGAAAAGACCCAAAACCTGCTGCAGAAAACACATCCTGACAGATAAGCGCTTTCAGCAGAAAACAGTCCAATGCCACAGCTCAGAGTAGATGTCATGATGACATGAGTGGAGATAAAACCACTAAAAACAAGCCGCCTCTCACTTCCTGACCACTTCTAAAAACACTCATCAGAGTGAGGGAACAGATTGTGCCCCCCTAATGAGTAAGAACTGGGCCTAAGAGATCAGTTAAGAGACAAAGACGGTGTAGTAAAGAGTTAAGAGAAGCCAGATCCCCCAACACACGGGCCAACAAAACGTCTACTAAGATGCCAAGCCACAATAACCAGCAAAAGTGCCACCCAAACACACACACACACACATTACTTACCCGCCGGGCGATCTTATCTCCCTGCAAAACCACAATAATTTGATACTGTTCTATTCACTGTTGTTGACAGTAATAATCTTTGTTCATTTACTGAAAAACACTTCTAAGCGAGACACACATCTCAATTTAACATCTCCTTCAAACAGGAACCAAATTTCAAACACTGCTGTCCTACCTGCGAGAGGATGTTGGTGCACTGCTGCAGCAGGGAGACAGGGGGCTTTCCCAGGCTGGTGGCGAGTTGGACCCTCAGCAGCTGCTCCTTCTGAGTGAGGTTGTCCTGCAGGGCGTGAGCCAATGCCACAGCGGCACACCAGTTAGACAGAGAGTCTGCTGAGAACAGGCCTCCGCACAGCAGCTGGCCCGCTGAGATGGAGTTAGCTGGAGAAGAAAAAGGAGCATGTCAGTCAACAGGCAATGGTCAACACATGACTAAAGCTGCAGGCATCGGGGATCTGGCAGAAATAACAGTTATTCGTCAGATTATGTTAATGGAAGTTGTTCTACTTGTAGTGTAATAAAGCCGCCAAACAGAAACTCAAATACCGTTCTGATTCCTGTTCAGTTTCATTCCTAACACCCAACAAAGTCTCCTGTAATCTTAACTTAGAAGACATTGTGATATGAAGAACATTTATATCACCTTTCTGCTAAAATACAATTTCTTTAACAATATTATGATCACCAATAAACATGGCTTAAAAAACACTGAGGAGTTTACTCGAATTCTTAGAATAATTCATTTTTCAAGAATATATTTTTGTGTGCAACAAATTTACAAGATGTCTGATAAAACTCTGAGTAACTCAAACAGGGAAAAGGGCATTTCTTTATGCCTTTACCTCTTCACTATTCCAATCTGCCAATTTAATACAGTTTAAAGTAATGGTTCAAATCTGGAGTAAAAAAAAACAATCAAACAAATCTTGTTCTGAAAAGAGGCTTCATAGAAAGCTGTTCAAATCAATTGTTCAAAGTTAAAATATTCTCAAGAATGAAATCCTTGTTTGCTGTCAGGGCAAAGAATACTTCTACTCATTTGTCTACAAGCACTCCTTAAAATTATTGCAAAACAGCTAATAAAGCCAGTTGAAAGTTCTCAACTTTATTAACTGACCATCGATGGTGGAGGGCAGCAGTGTAGCCACTATCTCCCCCTGTCCTTTCTGGTTTTTGTAGAGGAAACACTGGAAACAGTAGAGCACAGCACAGCGAAGCACAAATGGCTGCCTCTCATTCACCATGGACATGAGCAGCACCACGATGGCTGGTCTGTGGAGAGATTTAGAGAGGAGACCAGAGAGGAAGTTTAGTACGATCAGCTGGAGATGAAGGAATTCTTACCTTCATTGGATTGTTCTGTGTCACCTTGGTGGATTTGACGGAGCGTTGACGGAGGCAAAGTAGTCCTGGTTGATCTGCGAGCCTCTGATAACCTCGGACACGGTGTTGATGGTCTGAAAGAAAGAGACCAGATTATAGACTTGAATGCTTCTCAAAGAGTAGATCCTTCTGAGTGTGCAATACTTCCTGAACATCGCTGGCTTTACCTCGGTGAGGATGTCAGCAGGCACACCAGTGGCCATGAGGATGGTGCACAGCTGCTGCAGCAGACCACACTGGTACATGGACCTCTGGCAGCTGGCAGTGGCTCCAGGAGAGTTCACTGGAGACACCATGACGCGCACCAACTTGAAACAGAGCATTGTGCAACACTTAGGCTTTTTAACAACATCCCATTGTCATGCTTGTTCAAACTGTTATTATTAGGTTAAAGCAACAGTTCAACATGGCTGTTCTGAGTTACCTGCAGCATGAGGTGGAGGTTGGTGACTTTCTGTGCGGACCAACCAGAGTTATCGTCCCCGACCTCAAACCAGGGCTTCATCCTCTGGATGTAGGAGCCCTCCTTGAAGAAGTTTTGATTGGAGCTGTTGTTCTTTAGCAGGTTGAGCAGCAGGAGCAAACAGTCCTCCACCACAATACCTGCAGAGGGGGAAAATGCATGTCCATTATCATATCTAACAAGAAAAGCAAATTAACCTACAACTTTAATCAATATGAAATAAAAGGAGTGGGATTCTTTTTAATCTAAAAGTCCATCTACCTCCATCACTGCTGCCCTCCTCTGTGATGATATCTAGAAGACGTTCAAATGCGTTTTCAAAGGCCACAATTTTTTGAATGGCAGCATTGCTTTTTGTCAGCTGTTGAAGCAGCAATAAGCCCTGTTGGGAAGAAAAAAAAAACAGATTATTGCTCATCACCTAGAAATTTGAAAACCAAAGCATAATATTTTCACTAATTGGTGTGTCATGATAACAAAATCAGCGTGAGCAATGTTCATCCAAAATCAGTTTTGTGTTCAAATATTAAGGGGGTGTGTTGTTTAAAAGGACCGGTAAAACAGGAAAGATAATCCAGGAAGCGCAGTTTAAGAAATAAATATGTGACATTGAAGCATTTCAGTATTTAAAACACTCTATAGCAATTTACTGAACCTTGTGAAATATAGACTCTGTGGTGTGATCACAGTTGCCATTATCTTATCCTTCATCTTATAAATAAGATAAATAGGAACATGGTGTTTATTTCAAAATGAATTCCCCAGAAACATCAACTTGCATGTATGTGTTTGGCCCTTGTTAGATGCTGTTTCGAAACATTGGAGCAAAAGGTGAGCAAGCCATGGACTTTTCTTTTGTCTTTTGCCTCTCTGCTGGGATGATATATTGGCCTCATTCAAATAAACGTGTGGATACTTTTATAACAAACTAACAGATTGAAAAGTAGGTTCTCACATTGGGGGTGCCCGAGTACTCGTTCATTAAATAATAATCAGTTACAAAAAAAATGTAATCGATAATCATTTTGTAGTCCACATTTTTGTAAATGTTTCTTGTTGCATTGTGGGTTCTAGGATAGGAAAAAAACAGAAAAAAAGGAGCACACTCAAACAGAAATAAAACTTAAGGTGCACGAGCGCAAAAAGAAAATAGATTACAAACAAAGCGCTGATAAAGGCTCTGTGCTGAAATGCGCCCGTTGTTTTTTTTTTTTGTTTTTTTTTTAAGATTTATTTTGGGATTTTCGTGCCTTTAATGCAGAGAGAGGACAGTGGATAGAGTCGGAAACCAGGGAGAGAGAGCGGTGAATGACATGCGGAGGGGGGCCACGGGTGGAAGCGAGCCCGGGACTACCGCTTGAGACGAGAGTCTCAATACATGGGACGCGCGCCCTAACCATTGCGCCACCAGCGCGCCCCAACGCGCCCGTTGTTGATCTGTACGCTAGCCTAGCCAGATGATTATTCTTTTAATAACGACAAAACGGAACAACCTTATAGGGAGAAATAGCTCATAGCGGACAGATGAGCGAGATTGAGCGAGTGTGTCATTGCGCACAGAGGAGAAAGATGGAACAGACACTTAAATCGTTCACCTGTTCTATTGTAACTTCATTTACCAGAGTAAAGTGTGCTCTACACTGCAGACTGTAGTCTCTGTTAACAGAACGTTGCTGTCAAAACAGCTTCAACATGCGATGAGGGCAAATTGATGTCTGCGCGTCCGCTCGCCACACTCACTGCTCTAATTATAATAAAGTGTTAAAACGGTCATAAGATACGTCTGTGTGAATTCTTATTTGAGGTTTGCTGTCTGTTGAAGTAAGAAATGTCCTAATTTGAACCTTAATACAAAGTAAGCCTATTACTAACAATTATTGAAATCCCGAAGATTCAAATTAATCAATACAGTCGGCATCAAATCATATGTGGGGGCGGGGCCTCCCGTGGCAGACAAGAGTCACAGAAAAAAAAGAACTACAAAATGATTACTCGAGTACTCGCTTTAACAATGGGAAGAGTAATCGATTAAAGAAAATTTTGCATTTCTGCACCCCTAACTCACATCATTGCGAATCACCTCCCTAGAGTCTGCCAACAGGTCCATCAATCTGGAAACACCTGCAGATGTACACATGAATGAAAGGCGCTCATTAATAATGGTGGATTTAAATAAAAAAGAAACACAGCTTAAGCATTGTTGTGTGATTGAAATCGTTAATTGTATCTGCTTTATAGATGCCATCAGTAAATGGATAAAGTCATGTTGATATGAGACTTAAGATTCGAGAACTGAGTGAAATCTTGACCTTTACAGATCAAGTTTATTTAAATTGAGAGAGGGGACACTTACCCATGGGGCTGACTAGAATGATCCCTTGGAGCTGGACACCCTGGTTCTTTAGGAGAGCAGTCAATAGCTTCACCCCGGGCCAACGTACATGGAAGTCAAAATCCTAAGAAAACATATCAATCAATGAACACGTCAGGCTGGTGTTGAGGTAATCCTAAAGGCACACTAACAGAAACTGTTCAGTACCTCCAGTAGAGTGAGGAGCAGGGTCACGTGTTCAGGATCCTGGATGAACATTTCTGTGAACTGAGCACCGAGGTCATCTGCCTGCTTCTGTGCAGTCTCGTCTGTTAAGGAGATTAGAAGCTGAATTTAATAACATGTCTAAACTATGACGTTGCAGGAGTCATCAGTGTAGTGAGGAAATCTGTAGGTTTGTTAATAACAATCATCCTGAGTTAGACAGTAACACTTCACTGGATCTACCACTTCTCAAAACTTCCACAGCACTTTTAATCAATGGTAATTTCCTGCTACTGAATATTGGCTTTACAAGGAATATGTCAATAGTAATGTGCACATGCTCAGGGTGAGAACATCTATTCTGGAAAAACAAAGGCTGACACACAGCTGTTGGGGATAGCTGGAGTGGAGGGTAGACAGGGTGAGATCAGCAGGTTTGCTGTGGGGGGGATTCTACTGTGAGCACATCTAGCAAGTCTAAATGGGAGGGGCTGAGAGTTTTAATGTGACAAGCTGGTTAGAAACACCACTGCATTCAATTCATGCGAGTGTCTTCCAGGTGCCGGTATATACAAAGTTATGTGTACTTGGGGGGAAAAAAAGGAAATGAGGAAAAACTGATTTTGGTATGGGAAATGGTCAATATGGTCCAAGTTTCAATTCTTGGGGCACAGATAACATAGTGTTTAGTGTGCACACCCCATATACAGAGGCTATTGTCCTCCAGACGGGCGGCCTGGGTTCAAATCCGGACTGTGGCTCCTTTCCTGCATGTCATTTCCCACTCTCTCCCTGATTTGCAATGCTATCCACTGTCCTATCTCTAAAATAAAGGCATAAAAAGCCCAAAAATAAACCTTAATAAAAAAAGCTATAATTCTTGACATACATTTCTTAAAAAAAAAAAAAAAGCTATGACAATATATAGGGTTAAAGGGGGAATTTGCAGAGATGGAAACATTCAGTTTCATGAGTGTTTGTAGCCAAGGATATCTTGTAAGCATGTTGCAGCTTCTTGTTTTGGAATATTTACAGTCTCTCACTCTCACCACCCTCATCAGCATTGTTTTGTAGTTCCAGCAAAACACTCTACAAGACTTCAGGTGAGGCCATTTTTTACTTTTTTTGTGTGAAGCACACTAAGTAAACAAGAGATATAACCAGTTAATGTGAAAAGATGCAAAAGATTTGTGCAAAGGGTCCACAGAGGGGACTGAGTCATAAAAAGCCTTCCAACATTAAAAATATTGGACTAATAATAGTTGGTTGTGTGTGTAAAAGTCGACATAAATTGACAACAATTTGCTCAATTGTTGTTGAATGGGGATCCGAAAAATGGTTGAAAAAATATTCAAAACAATATTTCTATTTATCTTACACACAACAGATCTCAAAATAATACTTGAGATACAACCAGAGGAAGACGAGGCAATGTTATTGTTTTGTGATATGATTGAAAGGCCTTTAGAAAACACCTTCTAATCAAAGAAGATCCTACAAAATAATTCACCACAACTGAGAAAAACAGCAGGTATTAAAATGTGAGGAAAAACAATGAAGCTGTGAGATTATGAACAGACTGATGTTTGGAGACTTGATGATATTAGTGAAGCTTTTTTTGTTAAAAAAGTCCAGTCCCTTTTCCAATTCAACCTTGTTTGAGTGAAGTTAGTCGTCTAGCTGTAATTAAACTACTGCATGGGCAGCTACGTTTCAGTACTGACCAGGCGCGGAAGCATTCTTACGCTTCCCTGAGACAGGGATATGGGTTACAGCGTCTGTGAGAGCAAGGGAGGAGAGGAAGTTAAAGGCCTAACCCAAAAAGCTAGCTTTCATTTCAACTGCAGAGAAGAATCAGCCAAAAGATTCTTGTGAATACATGCGCTGACAACAACCAACACACAGCCTTGAATTGTAACAGCTGTTGGGAGTTGTGAACAAGGTTATTAATGTGCGTATTCCCAACCAAGAGAAACCTATGATCTGTAAGAGCTGCTGGTTTTTTAGAAAACAAAAAGTGGGTGGGGGTGGAGGGGGGATTGGATCATGCACAGTCAAAGAGTTTTACCTTCTGATTCATCTGTAGGTTAAAACATGGAAGAGAAGAGAAATGAGAATCTTTGTATAAAGCAGTCATTGTCAGTGTAGGGGAATGCAAGTCAACTTGACATGAATTCAATTTAAACATGCAAACTAAACAGTTGCTCAGGAAATACACAATAAGGGAGAATTATGTTTTCGAAAAACAACCAATTAAAGGTGAATTGTATTATTTGCATTGATTTGCAAGATGGTGAAATACCTTGCTCCTCCTCCTCATCGTTGCAGATGAGGTTGTACAATGTGTCCAAAGCATAGCCCAGGATCTCAGAGTCAGACCTGTTTATTTAAGCATGTGGAAGCACATGTTATTATCACGTTATCTGTGAACTGGTATTTAAAATTCAATAAAAAAAACAAACAAAGGTACAAAGTACATCAACACACCTGTCAGTTTGCAGTATGTTAATCAAGTGATCCATCGCCTGTGTGCCAACTTCCATGCGATATTTCTACAGAAGATAAAAGGGCAAAGTGAGTGTATTTACAAACCACCTGCAAACACAAGACAAATCAGAGTGTTGCGTAGAGGATGCTGAAAGTCATTAGTTATAAATAATAAGGTATAACTGATAACAAAGGGTGTAAAAGTCATAGAAATCTAGAGAACTGAGCTGAATATCATCGATAGTCAAAACTTTAATTTAACCAAAGAGCATTAAAGGAAACTTAAAATATTTACCTAAAAGACGTGTTTTCTGTTTTGTTTTTGAGTATGATGAGGCTTTAAGTGACTGCTTCACTTACATGATAGATATATTAAACTTGTTTTGCCATTAAGACTTCAGAGGTTGTTGGATTTTGTAATATCAGTCAATGTGGACAAAGGAAAATAAAAATCATTAACTTCGTATTGTCTCTGGTCTTAGACACAGGAAGTCGACACATCCACCTCTACATTTCTGACCTCACTGAGTGTTAATGTGCAACCCTGCGCCTCCTAAACCACTTATTCATGCCTGATAAACTCATTACTCATGGTTGACATGGCAAGCGGAAACAAAACTGGCCATAAAAAGAACTGAGAGCTGGAAGTATATATTGATCAGTTCATTTAACTAAATGTTGTTTGAATAAAGAGACTTATATCCTTGACAGTGTGTACAAGGAGAAAATATTCACAAAGGTTCCTGTGACTTTCATACAGGGAAGCAATTCGCTGGGTTTAAAGCTAATCCTAAAAAATATATATATTCTGAAGGTCAAGATAAAGAATAAAAGAACATGAGAACATCACAAATGTTCACCCAAAAATCCCATCATACATACACTCTGTTGTCCGTCTATTACGTATAAACAAAAACTGCACTGAACTTGTAGCAGCAATATCAGCTTTATTTACCTTAGAGAGGGACTTAAGAGCACGGACAGCATCTCTGCGATCTTCTAGGAGCGTTGAGGAGGCTACCCGGTCACACAACTTCTGGATCTGTCAATAAAGGGATTATAAATTATTCATGAAGTACAAGGTATCATCACTCATATTTTCCTTTAGGCTTCGTAAGATCATTTTATTTACACAATATTTCACTTTGCTTTTTATTCCCACTTGTATTTACATCATAACGTAATATGTTTCCCTATCTTTGTGTAGGGTTCCAAAACGTATCTCCATTTCCATCAAGCAATCAAAGGTCCTGAAACATTTCCAGGATGGATGTAACATTGTGCAACATTAAGCAAGCTGATTCTGTTTGGTTTGATTTACATTTGGAAAACGATGCTTTGATTAACATAATCACAGCTAGTAGAAATTTGCATCTGTGTGAATGATGTTTATTTACTCTTTCCATACAAGCGGTGGAAGAGACAGTCGATAGCTGACATTTAATGTAACCTATTCTTGATGAATGTATTGTGTGCTCTGCAGAAGAGCCAAGCTGAATCTCTAAACAGCCAAAACAGGAATGTCTACACACAAAGACTGAATTATGTGTGTAATGCTGCATTGCCAGCAGGAGCCATAATTTTTTTTTTTTTTAAATGCTGCATAAAATACTCTGCATGCATCTTATCTGCAGCTGTATCTTCACATCAGGATTTTACTGAACAAAGATTTGGGAGGATGTGATGATGTAATTAATGATTAGTTACATGCCTTTATAACTGAGAATAACTGGTAGAGGGCCTGTGTTTGATCTGGTACTCCGACAGTAAATTGCCTTCAATTTCATTCATTTTCTGGATGTAAATACATTTTTATTAATTATATTTGGAGGTTATTTTAAACAGCAAGACATTATTGATGTCAAACAATCCAATTAAAGTCGATACTCTTATTTGAAGTTTATTATATATTTTAATTCGTTTTCATTCATCTAACAGTGGAGGAAACAGGGTACATGTCAAACGCAGCCCAACAGCTGAATGACAGCTAAGCTACGTTAGCTAACTAGCCAATTAGCCTTCTGACAAGCTAGTTTCTCATATTTAAGGAGGCTATTGCATCTTAACATTTAACACTGGGTGTTTTTAGGAGGGCAAACTAAGTGTTTAAACACATCTTTTATCGATGGATCTATTGTTGTCATGGTATGCCAGGCACAGAGCATTAGAAATCTTAGCTAGCCGAAGCTAGCCACAGCTAGCCAGGCTGGTTCTCTTACCGTGTCCGCTCCAGACGGCTGTGGCCCGGCTGCCTGCCCACCCATCACTCCTCTCAAGAAATTCATCTTTACAGACGTCCAGACGGTGCCGAAGTCTAATTGTCTCTTCTTCTTAGAAATAAATCAGTCTCCTCCGAATGGTCCGTGTTATAAATATGTGAAAAGAAAAGGGAAAAAGGTACAAACTGATTATATTATTTAACTGTGTACACTGACTGACCGACCCCGGAACACAAGTGTAAATACACTGCGCATGCGCGCAGACGTGGCGATACGTGGCTGGGGCTGATCAGCAGAGTGAATTCAGTTATTTAAAGGGCAAGAAGTCAAGTCAGGCTTAGCAGATTTCATACACAAGCCAACACAATGTGTTTCACACTACAGTCTATGGTTTCACATGAAGTGGAAAAACAGAAACAATCACAACAATTTCTTTAGTGCAAAAAGAGAAGATTATAAAAGATTCAGGGCTGTACCTATACATACATAAACCTCTGCACATACATATAGCCTCCATAAATATGAAGTGTCAAGATAAGTACAACACATCATGTCCTTTATATACTGAGGGGCAACGCCATTTAGTGCTTTGTACACAAGTAACAGAATTCTTTTTTTTAAATACTAGTTTGAACCCTGTGCCAATGGAGGAATTTAAGAACTGGAGTGATGTGTTCACATCTCTTGGTTCTGGTGAGAATCTGTGCGTCTGCATTTTGAATTAGTTATAATTTTCTATGTTAGTCTAATCTACTTAAAAGCATGTATTACTTTTCAGTGTCAGAAACCAACAGAAAGCCCCTGAGTCGTGAGATACTTTTTAGTTGGTAAAAAGATGATTATGTGACCTGATTGATGTGACTTTTAAAATGTAGATCGTTGTCCATTAAAACACTCAGATGACTTACCGAGAAAAACACATTATGTAACGGTATGTGAAAGATAATAGAAGATTATGAATAGATTGAATAGTTGAAAAAAAATGAGAACATGAGCTAAGTGTCCTCATACAACCCAACACCATTTTCCTGATCGTAGGTCCTTATTCACCATAGTAACTCAGAGATATTAGTGTGTAGTCTCTACATCTTATTTTCTTCACCCGCACTTCAAGGAAAATAAGAGAAGTAAGAAACACAAGATACCTATTCTCTATTGAATTATGCCCCCTACAGAAAAGTGTCATAACCTTCCCTATGGCCCTTAGTTGCCACAGCAACCAAAGCTGACCAATGCTCAGTTTATGTGAGCTAGCAAGGTAGTGATAATGCCTACCCTACCTCATGGCTCCTATTGGCCACCACAACCATGTAGACCGATGGGCACCAAATCAAGATTTGGTTTATGTTTTGTTCTGAAGTGGATCATTCCATAATATGATTATATAAACGACAATTTGGACTGTTTATTCAGAGTGAAACACAACATCCATTAAAACACAAGAGGCTTAAGAAACACATCTGGTTTTAAAAAGCCTCTAAGAGGTCCTTCAGGAAACATTTTCTATCTGTGATCAATCAAATAGCCTCCTACAGCTCAGATTCCATTCTGCTCAGAATATTATTTTAAAAAGTGAGAAGAGACATTGAATTAGACTAATATAATTCAATTAGTCAAGTATAGGTTGAGTAACTTTTAGTTTTGGTATATAGGATATGTGTGTAGACAGAGAGAGAGAGAGAGAGAGAGAGAGGGAGAGAGAACATAACATGTTGAATGCATACAATCATAAAAAAATGTCTTAGCAAAATAATATGAAATTAGAAACAGAGTTGCTGCTCAAACAAGAAATGAGAATCCTTCATGTCCACTTCATTTTTTCTACCAAATGTATTCTATTCCCCTACCTTATTCAGGAATTGGAGTGTTTTAAGCGTACAGTCATATGTTGATAACCCCAGGTTTGTGAAACGAGGTGGTCCACACTCACCTTTTGGTACATCTGGTCTCTTCTTAGCTCCTCCTCAGTGGTTCTCTGATCTTAAAAGAGTCAAACAACCTAGCAGACCAATTTCCCCAAAATCGTGGAAGTAGCAGGAAGTCAGAGAGGTTCCCTATTGGCTCCAAGGTCTGATGTGACATTGAGTGAAAGTCATCCTGAACAAGACAGTGACGGGATCAGATGAAATAGAGCCAGCTACTTCAATCTATCACAAATACTGCACCTCAGGGACTCATCAAGTGCTTTTCTCTGCTCTACATTTCTACAGGGGACTTTTGGGATTTACCATACAAAACCGTTTAGAAAAAAAGTCAGATTATTATCATTTCTACAACTGAGCGTTAATCAAGCCGACACAATTAGCTCCATCGAGACCAACCATCACATTACAGTATTTTTATAGTTTGGTATTGCTTCTTTTGCTTTAGTAAATACCACCATTGGATTTATATTGACTGTTACTTACCAAAACATTGTGTTCAACAGCATGTTCAAAAATGTGATTGCATATGTAACATAGTTTTCTAGCTTTGCACAAGCCCAATATAACATCATCAAATGTCTTTTGTGCACAAAAAGGGTAAACTAAGAGGTAAAGACAACCAGAAAAATATTCAGATTGAAGAAGAGAATTTTGACTTATTTTTCTGGAACTTTAAATCATTGGTCACCATAAGATTAGCCATTGCAGCTATACGTCGTATGCTACAATTTCTGTTACACAAACACACCACTACCCCACTTTTGTGTTTGACACACAAGCTTGATCCAAAATACAAGACTAGACGTTTTTCATACAAAGCTTTTCCACAGCAACAGAACACTTCAACAGACCATTTTCAAATGCAGACTGGGACTTCTCGATGTGTCAAATCAGTGTAGTGCCCCTTTCAAATGTTAAGTGTTCATCAGCGGTCACAGTGCTTTGCTTCGTTCAATGGCGACCAACTTCATCAGCAGCTCGTTGTTTACACAGTGTTTTCATGGAGAAACCTGCAAACATGACACACGGTGTGAGTGGTGCTGATATCAGTAGTTTATTGTATGTTAAGTCCAACACATTCAAAATAGAAAGGAAAAAAGAACAAAAGAAGAAAAAAAAACGATTCTCCACCTGCAACACTTTTGTACTAGCAACAAGTAAAGGGTAAACACAGGAAAATTAGGATGGCAGCCAACTGTTTACCACACCTACTAAAGCCAAGAAGGTACTTCTATTTCCATTTGAAAAAACAAAGGACTGGAATGATTCACAATGAGGATCCACTCTACTGCATTTTCAACCACAGGAAAGTACAGGTACAGCTTCTTGAGAATGTTTTCAGGATCCTTTTCATGTTTGGATAAGGGGCGTGGTTTTCTTAAACCTTTATGAAAAATAACTATCCAACCTTTAAATGTATATGCTCAGACGTGATTTTTTTTTTAAACCATCACAACCATGTAAAAGCACAGATTGGTCTGAAAGCATGATGGCTCTTCTTCACCACTCTTTACAGTGACCATTGCTCCAAAAAGAAGGTTGCATTCAAGTGCCCATGTTAAGCAATTACCTGACAAATAAACAATTGGGGTAGAGGCACCTAGTAAGAGATGTCTGATAAAAAAACACTAGACCAAAGAGCTTTTCAATTGTTTTCTGTTATATTCTGTCAAAGACTGATGGTAACAAATTAAGAGTCTCTGTATTGAAAACTAATCCCACATCAGGAAATGTTGAACCTCAACTATAAAAGGGAGAATAGCCCAGCAATAATGTGGAAAAACTACATAAAATATGCATCAAATCTGGTTTGCAAGAGAGCAAAGGCTAGTTCATCCCTATTTTCTATTTTCTTTGCCTGATGAGGAATTTGGAGAGAGGCTGTGTTCAAACTGACAGATTGTCCCAGAAATGTTGGGAATAGTGCAATACCACCAGACAAGGAAGACCTCATTCAGTATATTTGTCCAGAAAAATGCTACATCGATTTTCATCTCCCATTTCAGTGCAAGGTTACAAACAAATAAAAAATAAAATGTCTCGTGCTTGGGTTTTCCTTTTCCTACAGAGTGGTACAAAGACGAAACACACGAGAGGGCAATACGTAGACAACTACCATGGCATTCAGATTAGGCTCGCCTTGAATGGAAACAAGAGTGAATAACATAAGCACAATGCATAACCAGCATATGAACATAAAAATGCAGAAACGGCTAGAAAAGTATGAGCACAATTATTTGCTTGTCTTTAGGCTGGAATTACGGCCAGCCCACTCTCCACAGATCATTACAAAACTGTTGTGGAAAAAAAGTCTGACAACTTCTGTGTTCAGGGATTTATCCCGCCTGCTGCCATGAGTTTTAAAAAAACAATTAAAAAAAATAGTCAGACTGAAAGTAAGGATGACCACTTTCTGAATCAAAGTGATTCACCGTTTTTGTTGGAGCTATGACATGTAAACCAAAGACCAAGCATTTCTCTGTCACCATCTTTAATGTACCTTTTTTCATTGGTTGGGGGAGAAGTTCTTCAGATGCACCTCTTTAACCACTTAACATCAAACAGAACTTGAGGCACCAATTGTCTCTACAAAACCCAGAACAGACAATACAAAACAAAATGTACAAAACTCACAACAGAACATCTTAGGTAGTAAAACAGTATGGGCAAAAAAGAAATATGCACCTGTAAAAATTAAATCTTGTGAATACTGCAATTTCTTTTTTGTGTGTCTGCTCCCAGAAGTTCAAAATGAGCAGCTCCGTATTGTGAGGCGGCAAAGCCCCGAACCACTTTAGTAAGACTGGAAAAGGTGAAAAAGAAGGCACCATCATGCTCTTATCAAGTCAAGAGAGAGAAATGAAAAGATGCACAGAAAACAAAACATACAGTAAACTATGATTTTGCTGTACATTTATTCTGGAACTTTGCGCTTCAGACAGGGAGGGTGGAAAGAGGGAGGGAGGGGTCGTCCATCCCAGTTTTGCTTTTAGCTTGCAAGGAAAAACATGAAGAAAAAAAAACGTACTTGGAATTAAAAGAAGAAAAAAAAAGCGAGCAGCCATCAATACCACCACTCTTCTATTGTTCAGCTTTGTTTCTTGTTTATCCTTAGTCCCCCCGCGCATTTTGTGAAAGTCCAAGATTTGAGCTCTTTTCTTATTTATTTGATTTATAAATGAGGAAAAATAGATTTGCTTGTCATCTTGTCCATCCAGCAGTAATTGAAGCGTAGTTTTGGGTCAAAAGTGTGAAAAGTACATTGGTCACAGCAGACAGGCTGTAAGCCTGCTCCGGTAAGTCGTATCGCTCCGAGACAAAACGGGTCTCTCCAGCTGCATTCCGAGCATTGATGTCAATGTAATACGACAAAAAAGTACCCATTAGTGCATATTGATGAGTGCATTATGCAATTTTGAAGCAGTGGTCTCTCAAAAGGAAAAAAGTAAAAGGCAAGCCTTTCCCCTGGAACTGCACAAATTTTGCATCTCACTCTTTTCCAACAGTAACGGGCAGAAAACTACCATATAAAATGTGCAATAGAGGGATCTCGTGAAGCAGCGCCCCAGTTAAGTCAAGGCATATAATCTCTTTTCCAAATGATGGGCTGTATTGTCGTACTTAAAAGTCTCATCAGTCCCTCCTAATGTGGCAGATTACTCCTGGTTGGTTTGCCTTTTTTCACAAATTTACAAATTAAAGTTTGTGAATTCTTGAGTTACCTGAAAAAGGACGCTCAGCTCACAAGTAATAAGCGAAATTTTCTGTTTGCTTATTTCTGTTTGTCTATTTCACAAACAAATGGTTGACAGGCTGTGTCACATTCCAAAGCAAAGAGGGAACAAAAAAATCAAAATTAAACAAAAAAACAAATATATACGTTTATACATGAAGATTTCTTTTCGTTAACGAGAACGGTTGAAGATGAAGAACACGGTACTACTTCCAAGCTGCAGGTGGTGCTCTTCTCAGCGGCGCTGGGTGGTGAAGCGACCTTCTCCCTGGCCACCGGAGCCTCTTCCAGAGCCCATGCCAGGTTTTGGAGCCATGCCGCCTCGAGGTGGTGGTCCCCTCCCATCGCGTTCCCGCATCATTCCACTTCCCACAATGCCACGGGAACTTCCAGGGCCCCGGTCGTTGCGTCGCATGTCCCGGCGTTCGTCTCCTCCACCCCTGGTCTCTCGCTCACGCACCGCCCGTGTCTTCTTCTCCTCCACATTCAGACGCACCTCGCCTCGAAACATGATGGGCTGCAAGAAGACATGTAAGGTCAATACCAGAGGGAGAAAAAGACCCTTTAAATCACCCAATTTATTTCACCACCCACATCATTCACTGGTTTGCACACACGATAGACAACCTGTCCTCGTGTAGCCTCCGCTGTAACACGTCAAAGTTTCCCAATGGAAAAAAAATCCCTCTTTAAGGCTGAGTCCAGACCAAGTCGAGTCCTACACTGAAAGAATACAACTCACTAATCCATTGGAAAGAAGCCAGTTTCATAGTGTCATGTTGTAGATGGGGTTCCAGAGAGAGCTGTCCGGCGTTTAGTCTAACATTGCCTACGTTATGATGCAATACAATATAAATGGGCAAGGCGGCCAACTCGCATGCCTGAAAGTATCAATCTCCGATTGGAAACACGCCTTCCAAACTCGATTTGTTCCCAACAGAACAAAAAGAAAACTTTTACATCACATCTTACTTTAACAGTTGAGTAGGGAGTTTAACCCCACTGTGACAGGTTTAGGTTAAAAATTAAAGCGGAAATGTGCATCACCAAACCACCACCAAAGAATGAGTGGGTAATGAAAAAGTTATACATGCCCCGTCTACCTTGGCCCCCAGGATTCTTTGCACAGGGTCAGAGTCGTCAAAGACAACAAATCCAAAGTTGGGCAGCTTTCCACCAACACCCTTGGTGTTGATCCGCAGCTCCACCACATTTCCATATGCTGCAAGAAAATAAATGGTTTGAACCAGCTTTTATTTATTCACCTTAAAAAAAAAAAAAGTGTATGTCGTTTTAAAACACGAGTTGACAGGTGTAGCTTTCTTTAGTTGAAACTCACTCATGAAGAATTCTTTGAGCTCGCTCTCGTCAATGTCATGTGGAAGGTTTCCGACAAAGAGCTGGTGGCTGTCCGGGTACCGCACAATCCGCCTGCTGTCCATGTCACCAGATTCAGTGTCTGCCCGTCCACCTGCATGACAGAACAAAAACTCAGATCAGCTCAGGCGCATCATCTACATAAAACTCCTACGAATAGGACATGAAAGTGACTTCTAGGTGAATTAACATTTGACCTAAACTTTGATCTTTACCTTTGTTTACAAAACTCAAGTGTGGTTTTCCAGTTTGTGACTCTGAAGATGCAACACCATCTAAAAGTGACAAAAGACATCCAAGAGGTAAGAACAAGTCAAGTGAAACGATAAAAGTTACACTAAAACTTAAATTAATGCGACTGCATGTTTGCATTACCAGGTCTGGGACCACGCTGAGTAAAGGCCGGTCTGTCACGTGTGCGCTGGTCTCTGGGTCTCGAAGGTGCGGTCTGTGACTCCGGTTTGGCTTCAGTTCTTGGCTGTGTGGGTTGTTATCATTAATATCATTATTTCTTTATGTCAAAGCAATCATTTGTATGACATATTGGTACGAAACATTCAGCCACTCATTCACTTTTTCATTTTCTTTTTTGTTGGTGAAAATCTGTCCCCCTTATTAAAGCCGACTTCTTTACAAATGACTTGCACTTTCATACATGTATCAAGGCTTTAAATTCAACTTTAACAAACAGAAACAAGGAGTCAGACAGAAGCTCTGCTGAAAAAACACCGAGCAGTGCCACACTTAGCAGCACGGCATCACTCATAGTGGTTGATTACAACATACTGGTCTGATTGTCATATGGTCCGAGAGGTCATTTAATATGATTTTTTTCTTTTTTACAACTTTAAAAGATATTCTTCACACTTCCAAGTCCAGTTGTAGTTCTTTACCTGTGAGCTCGGAGCTTTAACAACATGGGGGGAGATTCCAGAAGAGGTGACTGTGCCGGTAGGAGGCAAGTTTTTACTAGTTACTGAAGCCCAGGAGAAAGTCTGTGAAGAATGCACCAATGAACGGTTAACTCAACACTATGATATATGAAGCTGTACATTAAGTAAGGCTGTGCATGAAAATATTATACACAAAAGTATCGCAATATTTGCTTTCACAGTATCATATTTATCACCCCTCAGCCATACAACAAATGGGTTATATTGTCTTTTATTTCCCTGAAATTCTTTTTATCACAATGACCTCTGCGCCTGTAGACGTCTCTGTTCAGGTAGTAGGCGGGCTTCCTGAGTGTAAAGCTGCCGCAGGCGAGATAAAATGCAGCAGTGACTTATAAACAAAGTGATAAAGTAAAACGAGTGTCTCTAAGAAAATGACAATCAGTTAACATAAAAACAAGACGTTTTGTGATTGTTACACGGCAGTTACACTCTACAGGACTAATAGAAATGCCTACAGCTCCACACAAACGTGCAAGAAGGAGCTAGGTTTTGTTCATATGCAGTGCTCTTCATCCCTGTGCTGTGTATCTGCACCGCCCTTAGCCAGACCTGCAGCTCTTAAACAGCAACAACAGAGAGATTATACAAACTCAAATGTCTGCAAATACTGACGTTTGTAAAGTCCATTTGGGTTCTCATTATATGGTAAAGTTTGGTCTGTTACATACCAACTGAGAGCACAGGAGAGGGACAGTGATATGTCGATGTTTTTTTTGAGTGTTTGCTGTGAGCTTTACAGTATGGCACAACAACTGACACACAGAACACACAGAGGCGTGAATAAAATAGATCAAATAGATGATGTCTGCAGAGAGAATCACCACCACACTCTTGTTCGGCCCCGTGTCCAGCGCTTACATTAATCGTTTGCGCACTGAGGAGAAAAGTGCTTCACATCCGTCCGTCCCAAATGCTCTCTACTCGTTGAAAACAGTTGAAGAAAAAAAAAAGACGCTGGTGTTTCGACAAAATACTAGGTGGACACGGGGCCTTAAACATATGATAAAGTGAGGGCCTTGCCAATACCCAGCCCTGACATTTAAAGTGAGTATGTTACAGTTTTGAATATATACACATCTATGAACAGACACAACTTGCATAGAGACACTAAAGTCTTACCTTGGCAGGCTCCTGAGTGTTTGGGGGAGACTCTGCAGGGACAGGTGAAGGTGCCTTCTCCTCCATCTCTTCCAGAACCTTCTCCTCTGCTTCAGGTTTTGTCTCCTCTGCTTTTGGCTCTGGTTCAAGCTCCGGCTCTGGTTCAGGAGCTGGTTCCTCCATGGGCTCCTCTACTCCATTACTACAGATCACAAATCAACATGCTGTCACTTCAACACAAGTTTTAAAAGGACATAATACAAAGGGCAACACACTGAAATAGATGATTGGGATTATGACAAAGTGTTGGCATACGTGACTGGGTGAGATTCATAGTAGGTGGTGCTGTTGGGGCTTTCCTGAAGTGGCTCAGGGGACGGCTGCCTCTCCTCTGCCTCTTCTTCAACTTCCTCCTCAGATTCTACGTGAGAGAAAGCAAATAAATTAAACAACACATTAAGTAGTTAGCGAACTTAAAAACTCTAAGAAAGGTGTATGTAGGATGTTTGTGAACATCTTACCCTCATCAAGCTCAGCTTCAGAGTCTCCAAAAACCTCGTCCTCGTAGCGGAAGATGTCATTGTGGACGTAGAACTTGTTTGCCACTGAACCCTAAAAGTGTCATGAAAGAAAATTTTAGCCAAGAAAGAAATTGTATCACATTTAATTGAAAACCCATAACATCTGTTTTTGGAAAACTGGGCATTTTCAAATTATCTTATTAAAATACAGCAGTCACTCATCTCCCGTTACAGACTTTGGTTTGAGCCAAGTTAAAATCAAAAGCCAAAACCGTGATACTGTTGCTGTCACTGAAATTCAAACATTAATTAGTTGTGTTCACAGTTGAACTGTATGGAAAACTTAAGGGGTTTTGATATATAGCGCTGTTTAAATGCACAGCTTTAAGTCGTGTCTATTGAGAAGTAGAAAAGTTGTATAATAAGAAAACAGGTTTATTTTGGCCGACCACAATAAGCAGTTAATAGCACTAAAACGCAGGTACTCACCTCAGGAGCAAGCACAAAAGTCTGCATAAACTTCCTCATGGGCTGGCCGTTGTTGGACAGTTCTCCGAGGACTTGCACCACCACTCCATCACTCAGTGTGGCATGAGCATCCACATGCCTGATCTTTGTGTGGCATTCACTGAACTGCAGGGACATGACCTTCTTGTGGATTTCCTAGGAGATTAGTGAATAACCAAGAAAAAGATAGATAAGAGGGGACGTTTATGTCAAAATTAACATGATTAAGAACATTTAGCAAAATATGTCCTTTAAGACATAACACAGTTCTTTACATTAATAAGTAGACATGAACTTCCTTCCTTTTTTTTACGGCTGTAATTAAAAAAGCCCTGTTTTTTTAAGTCATGTTAACAAGGTTTTAGTCTGAGTCAGCTAGTTTTTTTACTTTCACCATTCAGGTAGCCCTGGACAGCCTTATGAGCCTCAAACTTAGTTAAACCCAGTGATGAAAAAGACTGATATGAATGTATGTATGGTTGTTACAAAGAAGCCCAAAGTCTTTTTCAATGTGACAATATTGTTTCCTGCTGCTACTTCTTCCTCGAAACATGCTAATAATTATTTTATGTCTCAATTAAATAAGCTAAAATTAACACTTATTTTATCAGCACTATAATTAATCTCCCTGTTTTCAATATTTTCTAAGTGAATATTACTGCTGGTCAAAAGCACTTACCGCTTGCCCGTACACCGCTTCTGCCAGCTTCCCACTTGGGTCAAGTCCTCCATGAACATAGGAAGAACTCCTTCCATAAAACCTACAGCAAATTAATATTACAGTTAGCCACAAGATCTGTACATGTAAAAATCTCTTAACATTTCACATCTCTATAATTACCTGTGCAGAAAATCGGGCGCTTTGTTTAAGAGTGTGTAATACTGCCTCACAAACTCCCGCCCTACAAGCAGGGGACTTGGCTTCTCCATCACCATTTCTTTGGTAAACAATATTAAGTGCTGAAACAGAACATAAACAAATGTCAAAATGTTATAATGTAGAAGTCAATACATACACAAAAAGCTGGTAATCAATTTGGTATTGTTAAATAAAAAAAGTATGCAGTTTCCAGCCCTTAAACAACCCCTACTTATTTGAAGATTATTTGAAAAGGTAAGGACGCTGCAGTTAGCATCATACGGAGAGTTGTTTCTTTAATTATATCATAATATTTCATTTCTCAGGATTATGTAATACAATTCAGCAGTACCAAGAACAAACTACAGCCTTGGAAATTGCCATAAAGTTGAAGCAACACAAACACAGACTAAACTAACAAAAATGCATAAATGTTTGGGTTTATCGCAGAGCTATTGTATTAGATTGCATTAGTTTAAACTGAAGTGTGCGTGATGATTTGGCAACTGAGTGTAGGAGACTTAAGATTTAGAATTAATCTTTGACTCAATAGGACTGCTGTATGATTTTATATTAAAGATCCAGGTCATTTAAGGAACCCCCATCTCAGTACATGAAGTGTTTATTGAGCCCCAGGCAAAACATCACACATGTGTTAGAGCAGCAAGTACAGGAAGTACTCAAGTCGTTTTCACTTTCTTTGTCTGAGGAAGAGGCCAAATGTTTCACCTGACCCACATCAATCCAATGGCGTAGGCAAGATATTTGACTGTTTCAGCTAGCCTGCTAACACACTAGCCAACATTCAACTGCGCCATCACGTTTCATCCAATGAGACAAAGAGGGAAACCGACTGAAGATAAAGGCGACCAGTAAAAAAAAGCCTTTCAAGTTCTGCAGTTTAGAAAACTTAATTTAAATTAAACCCATTTTTCAACAAAGTGTACGCCAAAAAAAACCCATACATTTCACACACTGCAGCAATCTTTTGTAGTCAAATTGCCAACTGTGTGACGAGGCCCCTCCATTTCTAAGCTAACAACATTTTGTCCATGCTCTCGTTTGTCGCATGTTTTATTTTAAGACAGATTCACGCGTTGCATCATTAACGAGGTCACTCCACAAATACTGACAACCACTGGATGTCTATAACATCACCTCTGATGAAGTTAACCACACTACAAAACAACAGAAGGCATATTAAATCTGAATAGCCGGCCTCTTTAGCTGTCATCTCCAATGGCTAATGCTAGTCCGACAAACAGGAAATCAGCGGCGAGCTTGCGACACCGCTAGTTAGCTCGCTAACTTTAGCTCAAGCTAACTTGTGGCGTCGTAGTTTTTTTTTTCTTTTTCCCCTTTAGCCGGTGTGTCAATAAAAGAAAACGAGCGGAAGAACATACACAAAATGACAATGTCGAGTCCGGTCGACGCAGAAAAACATTGACAGCTGTCAGGATGATGCGTAAGCTTGTACTTCACACAACAACTCTTAAATTAAACTGATTGTAAACGGGATAAGACAGCTACTGCACCAATAAAGTTGTAAATGTCGTCACGATCAAGCGTTTTTTTTTTTTCCATAATAGTTATGAACAATATCAAGGCCCCCCCAACAAGTTAAAAGTACAATAATCTGTAAACTTCCACAGACTGAAGCGCGATCAATGAAACAAGTGGACTTGCTAGGCTAGCTTAGCTCAAAGAAAACAATAGGGAGGAAGATTTGACAATTTAGTTTAATGTGAATCATGTTTTTGACTGCTTAGCTTAAGTGGGTTATTCAAACAGTAACGACACTCCTGTTCGGCATGTAATAATAATAATAATAACTGCGTGTTTATCGAGTAATCCTGGTTTTAAACTAGACAATGCAGCTAGATAACATTAGCTCGTACTGGTAGCATTAGCCGATCAGCCGTTTTTATAGCGAGCTTATTTAGCTTGGAGGTTTTGGCTAACTTACCTTATGAAAGACCTATCTATGTAGACAGAAATGTTTTTTTTTTGTTTTTTTTAATAAATAACGAGTAACCGAATGTAAACTGTTCTGAAATACACAGGTGTCCCAGGTGTATCTCGTGATGTTTCCCACGCTCAACTAACTAACAGTTTATGATCTCTGCTGTACCAGAGATTGCAGATTTAAAGTGATAGGTTCTATTTATTGTTTTACCCCTGCAATCTGGGGCAGGGAACCCCCATCGCAAAGATTCAGCCAATGGACTGTTTACACTAGGCAACATAAATTATGACGCCAAGCAAATGACCCCGCCTCCTGAATTTTCTACCTCATGTCCAACTGCCCACTGATTTTTGTGATTTTTTTTTTTTTTTAATTGATAATCACACTCATTTTTTCCACGTCAATTGAGAAGGACATTTCTGATTACATATTAGATTATAGAATAGAATTACTTTATTGATCCCAAACTGGGAAATTGTGGCGTTACAGCAGCAGGTTGTCCAAACACACAATATTAGCAAATCTAAACACAATATAATATTAAATACAAAGTAAATAAGCACTAAAAATATCAAAATTAAGAATGGGAATATATACAACATACACAACCAGGATTTAACTTAGCATTACTAGTCTAAAATATGAAATAATTTTGATTGTTCACATAGTTTACGATTTTTTAACAACGTAAGTTTAACAACATTTAAGATAAGATAATCCTTTATTTATCCCACAATGGGGAAATTTACAATTATAATAGAATTATTGGTAGAATATTGGGAATTTCCCCATAACATTCAAAAAATCATAACTAACACATATGTCCATTTATTGTCATGTAACCTTTGTGATTGTCATTTATGGAACATATTTTACTGACTTATTTTTTATACTTGTTAATTGAATGGTTTTGTTCATTAAAGGTTAAAATGTTAAAAAAAAAATTAAATCAACATATAGCTTTCACACACTTGCAAGGTAGTTGCCAAAATTAACAAAATAAAAAGAGTTGGTCACAAGGTATGCCAGATTTATTTGTATTTGTTTATGTTTTATCAACCTGTATTTAACCAGAAAAGAAACTTGTAGAGATTAAAAACCTCTTTTGAAGAGGGCCCTGGCCAAGACAGGCAGCAGCAGTATATATAGAGTTTTAAACAAACAATGAGCACCAACACATACAAATACAGAAAAAATACATTAAAAGACACAAGTAACACATTTCAACACACACAAAAAAACGAATTTAAACAAACCAATAACACATTATTATTATTAGCTGATGTCACTTCATGAATGGTTTTTGTTGTAGTTTGGGTTCCATCCCAGTGGATTTTTGGGCCAGATGCAGAGATTTGTTGACAATCGGTGCTTATGGAAGTCAAACAAAAATAGTGGGTTTCTTTTTTTCTAAACTGTTCCTCAGAACAAGTCAATATGACCAATATGCTGCTTTTTTCCTATTGCAATAAATGATCCTATAAATAGGCCTACCTATACATATAGCACCAAAAGTAAACTACCTGTTTTATTAATAACACATTATTGCCATATAACAATAACAAAATTGAATGTTCTTCACTTGGGACATCAAGCCATATTTAGGGTTCTTCTGTGAGTAAGCCTGTTGCCCAATTGCCCTTTTGTAGCAGCTCATTGTTCTGTCAAGCAAAATTATCCTTTACTTTCACTGTAGGGATTTTATTAAGCGTGTGACTGCTGTATTTCCAAGTGTGGATATTTAGCACCACCTAGTGGAGGAGTATTCTTTGTACATTTCAGAAGAAATATTGCTCATGGTGGATTCATGTTGTGTCCCTGTAAATATTGTAATAAAAAGTGTGATAGACCTGCCCTATTTGTAAAATTTATATATTTTGGTTGATTGATTGTTTTATATACATGTTGATATATAAACTATGTTGACATGGATATAAAATAACATTTTTAAACAATAAAAATCACATTTTAATAAAGAGAAAATTGTGGAAGCAAACACATACAGATATGATGTGAAGTACATAAAAAGAATGTGTATTCTGTGATTGCTAAACTCAGATATTTAACTGACTACAGAGTAGCAATAGCGCTACTAAAATGTAGAAACACTAACATACATTTAGTAAAGCCATGTCCAGATGCCAAGTTGAACCTAATATGTATAACCTATTTCATTATTATATAGGCCTAGTTATAGTTTATTTTATATAGGCCTGTATTTCAGGTGGGATTCATACCATTAATGTCCAAGGCATCCATAAAAATAAGATCAAGGATCACCATTTAGCCTATAGTTGATCATATTTTGTGTAGGCTATGCCTAAACAGCTGTCTAGAATAGGGTCAATAATAGCCTACAGTAAAATGAAGTGTAAATATAAAGAAAATAAAAATATAAAGTAGTCTGCTGTATATTTAGTATTGTGTGAAGAAAATAGCTGAGGTAATATAGAAATGTAGTGCATGTAAGCCGACATCAAACTTGTATATTAACCTTATCCTAATGTTACACACCATCATGATAGGCCTATCAGCTACAGTACTTGTTTAAAAGTGATATTATAAATATTGTGTAACTTTAAAGGTGCACTATGTAGATTTGGTAGTGAAATTTGAAAGTTTGAGAAGTGAAACAATTCTATGCAATATTTTCTGAACTAAATTGCCAACACAAACTTTTTTTCAAAGGGAAAATGAGACCCTGGAAAACATTGGAGCTAAACAGCTACCAGGAGAGTGACGGACCCTCCATAACTTCTTGTGTAGCATCTGAACAGAATCTGTACACTTCTCCAACTTTCACATTTATCTACCAAAACTCCATAGTGCACCTTTAAGCAGTTCGGTGTAAATTTCGGCTCAAACACATGTTTCCGCACTTACATTTAAGGAGGCTCTGCATATTAGAGGCTGATCTACATCTATAACATTTTAAAATTGTAGCCTACAGGCCAGGCTAAGAAACACTTTAAAGTTGTGGTTTTATCCAAGTGCTTATGAACATTAACACTGGCTGTGATTAAATCATTTGTTGCATAGTTTCCATACAAATGACTCGTTTTTTGGACCTTAAGTGCACATTTCAACGAATTGACAGGCCTGTTGAACGTGTTGTCATAGTAACCACTAATCCAAACACACAGATATTATGTAACGCCAATACATTACATCCTTGTATTTAGCAATTGTATCCAAAATGTAGACCTTATTTATCATCACAAAAAGGGTCCAAAAGTATTTTATTAAACATTTCAAAGAAATGTCTTATTATCTGGAATGTGAATCTAATCTACACACAGATCAAAAACAACAAAAACATCCCTCAGAAGTTCACACAAAGTAGACTTTTAATCCAAGTCGTTGATTTGAGAAAAAAAACATTTGTTTTGTCCTGTAGACATTTCAGAAGATTAAGAAAATGCTTTCACACCGAGGTGTTTTCATCTTTTTCTTGCGACGCCATGACTTCTTCAAATGTAATCTGAGTCCCGAACAAATGAGAAAGAGTTTTTTGGGGGAACAGTAGAAGAACAAGATGGCTGTCCTGGGGCAAAGCAAGTACCTTTCTCGCTTCACATAAACAGCATTTAATGCCGCTGTCAGTGTCATGTAAATAGCTCAATGGGTAACGATTTTGAGTAGGTTTTATATAATTACTTTCATCGTGTTAAAGGCATCCTTTTCAGTACGACGGTCATCGTTTTTAGAGACGCAAGTGAAGACGGTTTGATGTTTTCCTCAAGAAAGTTTCCTAACGGGATGGTGAGTGGAAGTTAAGGGGCAAACAGGGACGAACGAAGTACCCTTTATTGGTTTGAATATACTTAGGTCACCGTAACATACCCTGTAAAATTCTATAAGTAGTTTTTTTTTAGTTGTATGACTAAATTCCCCACTACTTTGATTTTAGGCTTTTAACAGGTCGAGTTTTCGAAGCGAATAGCCGGAATGATTTAGCCTCTTTAAATAGTCATAAGAGATCTGCGCGATTTTGTATCACTTTTAACTTTTTCAGATGCCCCGCACAAAGTAAAAAAATAAATAAAAAATAAATAAAAATAGCATAGCGGACCATGAGTTCTTCTCGAGTTAGACCGCAGCAGCTACCGCCGAGCCAGACAGGCAGGTTGTCCCACAGACTCGACTCAGGAGAAGGGATAGAGATGGAGAACATTCACCCTCAAGATCTGGGTCTCGGAGGAGTCATAGGCACCCCGTCCCCTCCGTCGAGACAAGCATGGAGTCGCGACAATCCGGGTTTCGAGCCTGAGGATGAGATCATGGAAGCTGACTGGCCTCCGGCGAGTCCCGGGAGGAGGTCTGTGTCCACGGCCTCCAGCAGCAGCTGCAGCAGCGGCCTGGGAAGCTACACCGGCGGGGGCAGCGGCAACCACATCACCAGAGGAGGACTGTACCCGACCCCAAGTGTGGATGCCCAGCAGCAGGACAGGCATGATCACCCCGGCTGTATGAAGCAGATACTCCAAAAGATCAGAGGTCAATCACTCTTTATGATAGTTCTGCTCTCTCAACCTCAATCTGAACACATTTTGAAGGATGCACACATTTGAATTCATCATCATTCATCCTTTATGTTTGTCTGATATTTATATTTAGAACATAGTGGAAGTTTCTTCTGCAGTGTGTCTGTTACGTTTGTCAGCCTATCAGATGCCTGAACTACTGTTTCTCTCTGCAGTTCTGTGGGGCACAGAGCTGATGGAAGACAGTGACAGCAGCAGAGAAAGATACCTAAGGAACGTCCTGAGGGAGATGCTCACCTATATTGCATTTCTCATCACTCTTTGTATCCGTAAGTAAACACTGAAAAATCCTGCAAAATGACTGTAAAACGTCGGGCATGGTGACCGTTAGAAATCAATACTGTGATAGTTGTCATAATCACCACTGAGAATTAAACATGACCGGAATCAGATTTCTGAAAATGTCAACAAACACACGCACATCACTTATTTAGGTGCTGAATCGTAAAAAAAAAAATCCCTACATATGATGCACAAAGACTCACAGCCCTATGGCTCCTAAAGATATACTTATTTATTTGTCATCTGCATTAATAGAACACAACGTTTCCAGCCTGACTGGACTCATTCATAAGGTGCATTCGATTTCTGCCAAGTTTCATGACTCCACTGAACTACCACATAAACACACAGATTGA